TGGTTTCATATCTTTGTTTTATCAACATCCACAGCAAAGTAAAAAAAAGTGTAAAAAATAGCTGAAGGGAACAATTACAACAAATAGGAAGTACGAACCAGCGCTTTATATTCATTTGGGTTTTTTATTTTTGTCTATTTGTAGTTGTCATATTTCTATGCAGCTGGTTATGTTTTTATGTTATGTTTTTTCGCTCCTTTTCTCCCTTTTTTTGTTTTTCTGTATTGTCGTTAGCTGATTGATATATGTATTTATTTTTGTTTGCTGCGACTGCTGCTGCCGCCGTTGTTGTTGCTGTTATCAACCTTAAAAAGCTGACGACGTTGTACTTGCAGCATTGCCGTTGCCTTTTGTCCCAATTTCAATTTTAAAACTTTGCCCATTTGTTTTTGGCGCACAAATTTATCAGCTATTTGAGCGTTATATAGTTTGCTTCACTTTTTTGTTTCTATCTATTTATATGCTCGTTCAAGAAGTGAGGAGGGTATATTGTATGGGACTTTAAACCCCTATTGAAGATAAAAAAGAATTGATATATGATATATATAATATACTTGCTGTAAAGCTTGTCTTGGATAAAGTTAAAATTATTTTGTATGTTTGCTTCATATTTTGATATCTAAAAGCGAATATACGTTTTTCCAGCAGATATTGGAGGTGTGGCAAAGCATGATAAGCAAATTTAGGCTTCTTTTATGGATGGAATATATGCTATAAGCATATGTATATATGAGTACCGCCTTTAGATATATATATATGTACGATACAATAGTGTTGAGCTCAATAGACCACTAAATGATAGGTTATGTCAATTGAGGTATGGCAAATTACTCAAATATTGATTTTTTGGCTATATTTAGTTTCTTTTTTTTTCTTTTTTTGGAACCTAAACGAGTATTATGCAGCTGCTGCAGTGTTTCTAGTACTTTTTTTTTTGGTTTTGTGTTGTTTGTTTGTTTATTTTTATTTATTTATTTTTTTTTTTTTTTGGCTGGCTTGCAGAGAACGTTACATTCATCAAAAAATTTTATTCCAGCGCCCGTCTAACTTGGTGGTTTTTTATAAGCGCACTTTATGTCAAAACCACAGCGGCAATAACACAGACACATGACAAAAAAAAAAAAAAAAAAAAAGGAAGCGCGGTACTAGAAAAGAATGTGGAGAATTTTGCACGCCCCACGCGTGAGCTGCACAAACTGCCAAAGACAAAAGCTAAAAACCCCAACCCAGCATCAACAAACTAAAAGTGAAAAACTAAAAAAAAAAAAAAAAAAATGGAAAGCAAACTGTCAAGCAAGTGAAATAAATTAACAAAATGGCACCATAAAGCTAACATATGAGCAGAGTCCTTGATTTTTCGAGCAGCTCCTCTCATTGCTCTCGCAAAAATCTATATAAATTTCTGGTAGACGTTCTGTGTCGTGTGCGGCTTTTGTTTTGAAATAAGTTTTCAATTATTTAGAAATAAGTGCACATGACAGCAAGAAAATAAAGGCAAAGAAAGCGTGAATTATTCAGTTGCAATGAGCTAACACTTCGACTGCGCCAATACCCTTTGGCTGCTAATATGGCTAAAACTTTCAAAGAAACTGCAGCGCAGCAGCGAAACTTTGAGCCAATCTAATGAAATTTCAGCCAGCTACTCCACAGACCTTTGTCCTACAGGGTAGCGAAAGTTTGTCTGTGTACGAGTTAGTAGTTTCGTTTCGTTTCGCTTTGTTTTGCTGCAGCTTCAGCAGGGTACAAAGGCGAAAGTAAGTTTTTGTGCAGAGCATATGAGTCGCAACTGGCGGCATGTCAGCCAACAGCAGAGACAACAGCAAACGATTTCAATTTCGTTGATTGCAACGCCAGCAGACGTGTAAATGGCAACTATCGCCGGAACCGGCATTTAGCATGTGCCATCGCGTAAAGTATGCCCAAATGGAAATGGAAAGGGAGCGGGAGATTCAGTTTGTGACAAACACAGAGGACGAATGTTAACGGGCAGCTGGCGCGATCGGCCATTGGGTAGTACCAAAAAAAAAAAAAAAAAAACGGAAAAGAATCGGGGAAAAAACTGTAAACCAACAAAAGCCAATGCCAAACAGATAAGAGCGCATATTTTATTTGCATACTTTTAGGCTGAGTTTGGCGGGCGCAACGTTTGTAAAGCCATTTGGCAACAGAAATGCCATGAGGATGTGCGCAAAAAAATGCTGGCTAAATAAAAGGATTCATACAAACAGAGGCATACACACGCACACAGGGATAGAGAGAGACAGAGAGAGACATTCGCTTATTGCAGGCCGCTTAACAAACGCAAATCAAAACAAAGGCTGGCGCCAAGCGGAAATATGTGAAATGCGAACTTTTACAAAGATTGACAAGTGGCGACTGGCCCGTTTAAAATGTCAAATACGTACAATGTTGCCGAGACTTTTCATGCAAACAGCGGCAGCTGCTGGCGCTCAGCGACTACGTGCCGTTGGTTTTGGCTAAAGCACAGAAAACACAAAAAAAATACTAGGAAAGAAAATGTGTTTTTTTTTTTTGTTTTGTTGTTGTTGCTTTCTTCTGTTGATGTTTTGATTTGTGCGTGCGTGCAAATGTTTGCACTTGGAGCATTTGTTTTTTGTGCGCTGTGGTATTTTTTTTTTTTTTTTTGTCACAGTCATCTAGGCAGCAGCTACATAAATATATATATGTTTAGCTGTATATAATATATATATCTATATATATCTGCACACTCGTATATATTTTTTTTGTGCTAAAGATTTTCTTTTTGCATTGGGCGCCATTTCTATTTATATACCATTTTTTTTTTTTTTTTCGTTTGAGTGGGTGTAAATGTTTTATTTCTTTTTTGATTTATTTTCCTGGTATTTTTCGTTGGTTTATTTTTGGTTTTTTGTTAGAGTTATTTCCGTCTGGCAGTCAAGCCGTGCTCATCAAAATGGAAACTGTGCAACATGCACTAAGTGTGACTGATAGTGTGGTGAGTTAGTTGATTCATTCTCTCTCTTTTTTTTGATGGTGGCCCGCAGCCGTAGCCGCAACGGCGGGCAATCGGAGCCGGAGTTGGAGTCGGTGCCAACTGACAGTTGCAAATCATCAGAAATTTAAATTGACTTAAATTGTTTATTTTTTGGTGCAGTGACCAAAAACGTCATTGTTTTTGGCCATTGCACTGATTTTGGCAGACGGAAGTGCCAGGGCATGTAACCACAGCGGCATTGTGTTATTTATGAAAATAATAGAAATGCAAATTAATTTGTTGGCTTTTGTTGTGTGCTGGGCCGATAAAAAATGAAAACGAGTCGGCCATTGATAAAGCCAGCAATTAGTTGCTGCCATAACCATGCACGCCTGCATGCCTCAAATGCGCATTTCAAGATAGCCCATGGACACACGTCATGCCGTAATTTAAACTGCCAATTAGCTGTACCAAATTGTTTGCTCTCTCTCGCTCTATCTATCTATGCACACATACACGCATGCATATATGTATATATGTATATGTATTTTGTACATAATATGAAGCACTTCATTTGTCCGCTTTCAAATGTCTCTATCGATGGCGTGTGTCTATTTGTCCTGCTGTTGCTGTTACTGCTGCTCGCATTCCCATTTCTCGGTCTCCATTGGCATGTCCTTTATGCTGTTTTTTATTGTACGGACAGGAACAGACAGTCCGACAGACAGCTAGACATTGCGTTCTCTTACGCTACGCTTTCTTGGGGCATTATAATTGTGCTGCTCAACGTGTAACGCGCCCCCAGAGGAACAATTTGTTAGCGTATTCAAAGCTCGGCAAGCCCAGAGGCACTTATTCTTGCTGCTTTGGTTTTTGCATTGATTTCAGGCGAATAATAAAATATAAATTTGTACTAGAAATATGTCAGTAAAATTCACAAAATTCACGTTTCGCTACATCCTGCTGTGGTGGTCTAAACTGTGATTCTCCGTCCGTCCGTACGTCAGTCTGTCTGTCCTCTTGTCTGTCTGCCTGTCTACTTATCCTGCTATATGTGTGATTTTTATTTTTGTGGCTTTTCCGCGTACGCTTTTTGTTTTCATGTATAAATCATTTATTGTTTTTATGTATGACGTTTCGAGCAGTCTCGTTGGCTAGCGGCCTGGCTGGCTGGTTGGATGGCTGGTTGGTTGGCTGCCTGGCAGATATGAGTGCCTGTGTCTGACATTAATTGGCAGTGATTGAGGGATTTTTGTGCGCTCTGCATGTATATGTGAGCGACGGATACGTGCTCCTTTATGAAATATTAATTGGGCTTTCATACCGCTGTGCTCACTGCCGGCGTTCTCAGACGTGCCTCATAATCTGTTCAATGTCAGCGGATGAAAGAGAGCGAAAGAGCGAGCAAGAGAGGCAGCTTCAACAAACGCCAGTATCGTCATTAAAGGCCATTTCTGTCCATGACGCAAGCCGTCTAACAATCAGGCAGAATGTCATCCGCTACAGCCACAAACATGAATAGAATTCACAGACACATTCTTGCCCTGTTTAACATTTTCTTACATCAATAAAAGTAGAAGAACATTAAGTCTGATTGGTACGCTTCGTCTGCAGGCTCCGCCTAGCCTTGAGCTACACAATATTATGATTTATATTCAATCAATATATTCAAATTTCGATGCTTAAAGTCGCATCAATTTTAGTGCTCTGCAGATATTGCATGAAGAAAATTGTTTCGAACTTAAATTGCATTAAAATAAATAATTCATATAGAGCTAGCAACTTTGAAAGTTCTATGTTGTAATAATGAAGAGACATGCATGACCTTACACAACGTCTATAGACTGTTGGCATATAAGAATATCAATTACATGCCATGGAAAATTATGAGAGGAAGAGATATTTCTATTTGCAAAAATATCCCTTTGGGATTATAACCATTTTAATGACGGAGTATGTATTAAAAAATATTTTTGCAATTTAAATTTATATGAAATTTGAATTTTAAATTAAGTTACAAACAAAACAACTGGAGTATTGTTTTTCATTCGTTGACAAATTTTTTACTAAATCCCTCCAATATTTTTTTTATAGAACAGAATTTCATATTTAAATAGTCGTTACAAAGTTTCGTTAATAAACTTTTTGCTATTTTATTAAAAATGTTAACCCTTTAAAATTTGTATAAAACTCGAGTCAATCGAAACAAATTGATTGCTTTTAACATTGACTGAGTGGAGTGGATTGAATTGGATTTTTATTTAATAGATTTTTTGGAACTGTATTCATTTCACTTTTCATTAAATAATAATTAACCAAAGCTACATATATTATATTTTACGAACTCTTGAAATGAAGGATATAGAAATTTGGCAGCTTGGTAAATAAATATTTGAATGAATGGAGTGGCTTAGTCCTGGTAAGTTAAATCTAATTAATTTCTCATTACAATAAAATTTTCTTTTTTAGCATTAATATTTCAATAAATTTTATAAGCTAAAAAATTCCAAGTTATAGTAGAGCAATTAATGTGAATTTCTTGCTTATTCCATGGGGCGACGCAATGCGCAGTTCGCAGCGGCACAGTCAACGCCTTAACCTTGAAGCTGTCGTCGAGATGTGGGGCTGGAGCAATTGGCGGCGCTGGCCATGCCCCAGTTGTGCGTGGCGCGTTTGGCATGTTGCTGTTGCCAAAGGGGTTTGCGTTTAATTAAAAAAATATATAAATGTGAGCTTGTGGCTGGCGTTGCCTGGCATGCAATAGAAATGTTGCTTGGTTATTGCTTTTGCGCGCTGTTGCTGTAATTGTTGTTGTCGTTGCGGCTGTTGTGCGTATGTTTGCTGGCATTGCCAGTCCCAGTGGCATCGCTAGTGCCACTGATTTCGAAGACTCAACGGCAGTAGACGGCACAAAGATGAAATTTGCCTAGTTTGCTGGCACACTGCGGTGGGGCTTTTATGCTGAATTGAATCTTATATTAAGATGTTGCAAGGCGGCATCGCGTCGCCAGCGACCGCAGTGGCGGCATTGTTGTGTACCAAAATAATAACAGCAATTCTAACAAAGGCACACACAATAACCATGGCAACAGCTGCAGCGCAAGCACCACTCGACCAGCTGCAATCAGGCATTGTGTGTTGTGTTCGTATTGTTGTTGCTGGTGTTGTTGTTGCTCTGGTTGTTCACGGTGTTTGAAGCGGAAACTCAAAGCGCGTAAACCGGAAACTGCTGTTTAATGGCGCTGCTGTGCATGCAATGCGAATAGGGCTCAGTCGTCATCCAGCAGCCGGGCAGGGCCAGGCCAGGCATTCTGGCATTCAGGCATTCAGGCAACCAGCTAAACGGGAAATGAAATTTAATTTATAGAAAACAGCAATCTGCAATGTGCTAAAAATGTAATTACAATTTCCATTCACATTTGCCCAGCCAACCTTTCGGCCAACTCTTCCACAATGGCCCATATTATAATTATTTAACAACTGAACTAAGGCCGAGCAGTCACAATGAGCTCTCGTTAGCTCGTTGCTCGTTGCTCGTTGCTGGTTTCTAATTAAAGTGATAGATTTACCTAGGCAAACAGGCCGGGTTTGGATTCGATTTAATTTGTTAATGCCAGCTGAAGGCCATTTTTCAGTCAGGCTTCGCTTTTTGCTAGCGCCGATAAGCAAATGCCCGAAGGCTTAATGGCAAAAAGCTCTGGCTAAACGTTATCTATTGCTGACAAACATGGCAACATAGTTGCTGCTGCCACGCCCATAACTCACAGAGACAGAGACAGGGAGAGACTTTCTCTTGTCAATTGACGGCGAGCTTAGTTGTCGAATATGCAAGCGTTAGCATATTTGATTGCCATTACTGCTTGTCAAGGATTATGTGTCTTAATTTCGTGTTAAAGGATTTTCGCATTTTCGCTGCCCGCTCAACTTGGCTCTGGCTCTGGCTCTGGCTCTGCCTCTGCCATTTCCAAACATTTTCTCATTTTCTTCGTTTCGCAGAGTTTTTGTCAGCTTAATGCCCCAGCGCTTATCAAAGCAGCCAATCATCAGTGCTGTATCGAGCGTAGCTAATAAACTTGACAGCGGTCGCTGCTGTCAGGGTTGGGCCCTCGATCTGTCCCTGTGTGTGTGTATGGATGTGTGTGTGCGTGATTGGTTTGATTCTGAATTGGCTGCCTTAAAGTGCTGAAGTGTGTAGCAATATTGCTGTACAGTTCATCAGCTTTTGCAGCTGCCTGCGTCCTCTCTCCATTTCCCAGCTCGGTTAAGTGCACATGGGAAAAAGTTTGTTTTTCTGACCACTGCGCGCCACGCTGTAAATGCTGAAAACAAGCGAAAGTTGCTCTAAATGTATTTGATTTACCATCATTTATTTCGGTCTTTCCAAAATTGTATGTTGCGACCATGAACGTTGAAAACGTTGAAAGCACAGAGCGCAGAGCTCAGACTCGATTTAAAAAAAAAAAAAAAAAAAAACAGAAAGTCAAGCAACAGAAATATTTAAATGTCAAAGAGTGAAATGGCAAATGTGGACACATAGGGCAAACATATTTTAAAGTTTTACCACAAAGCATTAGCAGGCTACTCTAATATGCCAAAACTTTTCGACAGACTTAAGCCGTGTTGCACAGGCATATACCATCTTTAAATTTATGTGCATGTATGGGGACTACATGCTGAAAGTGTGTGAATATGAAGTTGTCTGAGTAAGCATTGTATAGCTTAATTGAGAGTATTTAGTCGTTGAGCATTAGATACACATGTATGCAGAGTGCTATCTTTCAGTTAACTGCCAACTTGAAGTTAGGGTATCTACTAGCTGAACATCTTTAACATTCACGTACTGTCAGTCTATAGGAAGTTTGACTATATGCTAAAGTTAGGGTATGCGCAAGTTGAGCATAAGTTATTGTCTCGCAAAATGATTTCGTTCTGGATTGCTGCATTCGATTTTTGTTTGACACTTTAATTGAAGAAGAAATTTTTTTGATTTAGTTGCCAAAAAGCAAAGAGTAAAGGGCAAAATGGAATTATGCTTGAAATAGATGCCAATATTCAGTGCTGATGTTTAGGTAATCTAAATGACTATCTCTTTGTGTATGTATGCGTGTGTAAGTCTGTATGTGTGTGTGCGTCTGTTACTGTGTTTTATTATCAGAGTTTTGTGCTCAACTAATTTAGCATGTTTTGTATTCTATGGCTTCTCTGCATTTCTCATTGTTACAATTCGAACTGCGGTCTGACTGCAGTACACAATGTTGTTCTCATTTTCGTCCATTTGGCATAGTTGGGCTAAAAATTGTGATTTGTCTGCAAACCGGAAATCCACAAAATACACTGCAAATATATTTGCATTGAGCGGCCAATGCAATCGGCTGTATTCTCATGCTACTAATTCGCCAAAATATATTTGCATACGCGCCTTGTCTGTGTGAGTGTGTGTGTGTGCTCCATTGTATTATTTGTGTGTGTGTGTGTGTGTGTGTTCAGATAGCTTTTACAGCAGCCAAACAACAGTTAAGCTTAAAGTTCAGAGCATGTTTTAGAAGGCATTTGATAATCCTTCAATCTGTCAATATACATATGAATGGTTGCACACATGATTACACTCGCACACACATTCTCACACACACACACAAACACACACATATATGCATATAGACATGCGGATGCATGCAAAAACAATAGAAATGCCAGCTAAAGATTTGTGCAAAATGCATCGACTGCAAAATCGACTTACGCCCACTTCGGTTGACCTCGAGCTCAACACCCATTCTACGGGGCCGAAGTATTTGCCTTTGTTCTCAGATGCACATAAGGCATAATTACAATTATGTGTATGTCTGTTTGCATAGCAGAAAGTTAACAAGTTTATGTAGGCATTATTGCGAAACAGTTTTCGCTGCCTGGCCTCGCTGTACTCGACTGTACCAAACTGTTTGCCCAACTGAGCTTGCAGCTGCAGGCTGCTGTGGAGCATTCGAAAATGTGAGCATTTCATTAGCAACCGCCCACTCGTAACTCGCAGTTAAGTTAAACACTTATTGAAGCCCCGCATAAGTGTCGAAATTGAGCTGTAGTCGAGCATGGCTAATTAGATCCGAGTGCGGAACTTCATATGAAAAGTGTGCAATCGACTGGCAGTTGTTCACTTTTTATCTGCACATAGATAAAACGAATAAGATCTTGGCACTCGGCCTGTGCTTAATTAGGCCAACTACAGCTGCAAGCTGGCATAACTTTGCACATAATATTCAAGCACGTGTCGGGTTCAAATTTGCTTTACACTTTATTATAGATTCATAGTCTGACCGGCTCGGTCGTTATCCTTAGGACAGGGAATATAAATTATGTACAAAATATGTAGCATACTTTTATGCGTTGCAAAATATGTCAATGTCAAATGTTGAGTCGAGCGACGAGTCTGGCCCACCATTCATCATTAAACCTCCACAACCGCCACAACTGGGGTTCACATCCCCAGAGCAACCTTTGACATTGTCTTGGTGGCCCGCTGGTCAAAGAAATGCTTTGCCAAAGCCAACGAAATTGTCTCCAGCCTTAAGGTGCGGCGCCCCCAATGCCGAGAGTCCTGAGCTCTGAGAGCCGTGTCGCCTGTTGGGCGGCTCGCAAGAAATGGCTTGTAAAGCTAGTTAAATATATTGTGCCTGCGGCCGTTTGCAAAACTTTCACTTCAAGACGCATATCTGGCCGTCGCCTAAAAGGTTCGGGCAGACTTTTTATGAACTGCCTGCCAGCCTTGCTTGCCTGACTGAGTTGGTCACCTTTAAAGCAGGAGCAAAGCATGTGAAGCAAGAGCCAACATAAGTTTGTTTTTCTTTACTTTTTTTTTACTCGAAATAACACGCCTAAGTGGTGTGTGCGTGTGTGTGTGCATGTGCATGTGTGTGTGTGTGTTTTACCTGCGTGTATTGTAATGGCTTTTGTATTAGTGTCAAAACACGTGAATTGTTGCGTGTCGCTTTATTATACGTTTGTGAGTATGTGTGTAGTTGGGTGTGGGACATGTTCTGGCTCTGTGTCTGCGTGTGCGTGTGTGTGTGTGCTTGGGTGCGGCCGTGCGAATATGTTGTTCATTATAATCTGCTCATGTTGCTATTTTAGCTGTTGCTGTTATTGCTTATGTCGTCGTTGGCCGCCCTCACTTGACGTTGTTTGCCATTGCTGTTGTTGTTGTTGCAGTTGTTGTTGTCGTTGTGGTTATTTTCATTGCTTTGCATTATTGTTGTTTTGCTATGTTCGATTGTTGTTGTTGTTATTGTTGCTGGCGCTGTGTGTTTTCAACAAATACATAATTTTGTGGACATAAAATTGTCACATGTCGTTGAATTTTGATTTGATTTTATGCGTAGTACAAATTTATGCAGGCGCTTACGCCTGTTTGTTTGGGCGTTGAGGCAGTGGAGCGGCGACGTGGGCGTGCCCGGCCATAGAGTATGTTTACTTTCGAATACACACAGACAGACACATACAGCGACAGACCTAAACACCCATACATACACACATATACAGAGAAAGTCACATGCACACAAAGGTTTGTTTGTTTGTTGTTGTTGTATATGTACTCTTTTTATGACTTTTTAGGCCACAGTCACACACACACACACACACACAGTCACACACACATACATGCATGCATGTTGACTTGTTTGGCATTGTGTCTTGCATCGCATGCAGTTTTGTTGTTTGGCTTTCATGACAATTGTTGTAAATTTGCACAATGATTTATGTTTGATATTTTAATTGCTG